CTTGCGGGAGATTTCAATGGACACTCTCCACTGTGGGGTTACAGTGATACAGACACAACAGGAACAGTTCTAGAAGAACTACTGAGATCAAGCAATCTCATTTCACTTCAAAATGACAAGTCACCACCCACCCTACTTCACTGAGCCAGCAAAACTCTCAGCAGACCTAACTTGACCCTGACCTCTAACAACCTTCACCTGCACTGCTCCATGACTGCCCTAGATGACATAGGAAGTGACCACCGCCCAATCCTACTGCAGATATCCTGCAACAGGAAACGAGAATCAACAAACCCCATAAGACGCAGTTGAAACTACAAGAAAGCAAACTGGGAGCTCTACCAACAAATCAGAAAGTAGACTCCTGGAAGTATGCACGACCAATCAAATTGAAAAATGCTACAAAGACATCACCACAGCACTAATGGCATCTGCCAAGGAAGCGATTCCAAGAGAGAACCCAAAGAAGTTCCGCCGTTATTGGGACAAAGAACTGGAACAACTGACGAAGGCCAGAAAGAAAGCCAGACGGCGCGATGAAAAGAACCCAACAGCCGAAAACAGAAAGCACTACAACTACCTAACTGCCAAGGTAAAGCTGAAGAGCAAAATTGCGAAAAGCAATACATGGAGAGAACATTGTGGAGAACTAGACTTGCATAAGGACGGGAGGAAAGCCTGGAACCTGCTCAGCAACCTCCCAGGTACAAAAAGAAGGAAAAAACCCGCCACAATGAAACCAACTGAGAAAGGAGAAACATGCAGAGCTGAAGTTATGAATTAATACTTTGCTAGCATCAACAAGAAAAGAAACCAGAACAAACTTAGCCACACAATAAAGCAGCTGGCCAAAAGGGCAGAACTGACCCCCTAAGGCAAATCTGGATGTGTTTGAGAAGGAGTTTACTCTGACGAAATTGAAGGCAGCCCTCAAAAAGCGTAAAAAGATAAAGGCCCTAGGACCAGACCACACTACCAGCGAAATGATCCTCAACCTGACAGACTCTTCTCTTTCCATACTCCTTGACTTCTTCAACAGGACCTGGAATGAGGGACAGCTCCCAACAGAATGGAAGAAGGCAAACATCACACCGATACTGAAGAAGGACAAACCAGCATTCCAGCCTTCAAGCTATAGACCAATCTCTTTAACATCGTGCCTGGCTAAGGTCGTCGAGAGAATGGTCAACGACAGACTGTACTGGTAGATGGAAAACATAGGCCAAATCAGCACATCAGAGGCAGGATTCAGGAAAGGCAAAACAACTATAGATCACCTCATCAGATTTGCCCTGGAGACCATCGATGCCTTTCAAGATAAAGATAATGTTGTGGCTGTCTTCATCGACCTGAGGCAGGCGTATGATCGTGTGTGGAGACAGGGACTTTTCTACAAAATGCAAAAGCTTGGGATAGTTTTTAGTAGACGTTTTACGGCGCTTGCAATTGCATAAGGTCATATGAGCGCCAGATTGATTAGAGGTGTTACAAGAGAGAAACAAAAATAAAAAAGGAGAAGGAGAGATACGGTCGATACATGTTTGATCATTGATAGGAAAGAATAAGCAAACCACACCAGAGCACCCGCCAACCACCCACAAGCTTGGGATAGCAGGAAGGATGTACAGCTGGATCAAGAACTTTCTGTATTGCTGAACTATCCCGACATCACGTGACAGCAATATTTCTTCATATAGGATACTCGAGGAAGGCCTCCCACTGGGTTCAGCACTCAGCTGTAACCTCATCCTGTTGTTCATGAACGACTTGCCAAATGCCATCTCCAGCCAGAAAGCACTCGACTGCGCTGACGACTTGTTCATCTGGAGCAAAGGAAGTGAGACGAGAGCACTGAACCAAGCCACCAACGTGGCTGACTACTATCTTGTCCTACTGCCAGCTATGGAAGATGGAGATCAACACAGACAGGACTGCTTTTGGACTCTTCAGCCTCAAAAACAAGGTTACAGCAAGTCAGGTAAACCTGAAGATCAATGGAACCAACATCAAACATGAAGACTACCCCAAGTACCTTGTTTTACAACTGGACCGAAAGCTGTCTCTCAAAAAGCACTTAGACGAGCTGACCAAGAAATCCACCTCCAGACTAAACCTTCTGAAACACCTTTCATCACTCAACTGGGGAGCTGACAAAGCAACCCTCCGACAACTTTATAGGGTATGTCAGACCTGTGATTGACTACTAGTACCTTACCATTACAATCTATAGCCAGCCAAAGCTCTTTGGCACAGCTTGGTAGAGTACAGAACCAAGCACTCAGATTTGTTTCTGGCGCGATGAAGACCACGCCTACAAGCACCTGCGAAATCCATACCAACATAAAACCACTGGACCTCAGAAGAAAGAGTGCTATACTCGAAACCTATTCGAAAGATTTGTGTGGCTAGGGGACACGAACGAAAATAGGAAAATGGCAGATGTGTGGGAACCAAGAACACGTACCCAGAATACCTCCTTCATGTGAGAAGCAACAAAACTACTTGAGGAGTTTGACCCACCCGAGAACAGAGAACCAACCACCAACATCAGCAGCGAACCTCCATATTGGCAGGCACTAGAAATCACTATATAAGGACGAGACTTCTAGACCCTTTTGTAACAAGACCACGACAGAAGAAATCCTCAAAACTAGTGCCTTGGAGACAGTGGACTCGTATGCTGAAACCCCAATTCAATCATACTCAGATGGGACAGTAACAAACGCTACACGGAATGCTGGATACGGATCTATAATCAAATATCGAAACAACCTTAGAGAGAAGAAGGGGGCTCTCGTGGCCTAGAGGTTAAGGTGTTGGCCTCTCATTCAAAGGCCCCGGGTTCGAATCCGGGTAGCGACCGAAGGATTTTCTTCTCTAAAATTGTCTCCTTTCACCTCCTTTCCTGCTCTCTAGCAATGTTCTGTTGTTTGCTTTCAATTCCACTTTCTGCCCCCACCCCCTCACCTCCTTTGCCCCCTCCTCTGGGCTCCTGACTCTTTCTGCAGCCTTTCTACTGCTACTCCTTGGCTCCTCCTTACTGCTGTCTTTCTGCCACACCCCTGATCTTCTGGTAGGAAAGATCTACACCTAGCCTTCTCGGACAAGGGCGAAAAAATCTCGGAGGGCCCGTGTGCAAGTTGCGCACGTTAAAGATCCCTTGATGGTCTAAAATCGATAAGAGTAGGCTTCGGCCGCCACCCAGGCAAAATTCAAAAATGTCCTACCAACTGAAAATATTAGGTGTGTCCCGCGCGCTCATATGACCTACGCAGTTGCGAGTGCCGTAAAACACTTTACAAAAACAAAAAAGAGAGAAGAAGCAGACCCAACTATTTGGCCCATGTGGAACATACAGCTCCGACTATGACGCAGAGAGAGTTGCCACAGTAAAGACCCTGGAGCAGATCACCCAAGACTTTTTTTGAAGGCACCGTAACACCAGGGGATGTTGTTGTCTTCTCTGACCCAATGTCAGTACTCCAAGCCGTCGAGGGAGGAGGAGACTACAGAGGTGACGGGAACATTTTCAGCCTTGTAAAAGAGATGGGCACTTCCTGTGGCATCCGGGTCACACAGCAGTGGGTGCCTGGCCATTCTGGAGTACCAGGGAATGAGACTGCAGACCATCTATCAAAGACTGGAGCCACCCTGCCCCAGACAGACACAGCCGCCTCTTTCCAGACCTGCAGAGGGATCATCCAAGCCAAAAGCAGGGACGAGTGGCGAAACAGATGGGCCAACGCAGGAAGATCTCTCTTCGGATACATGGACAAACCCAACTCCAAAGACCCTTCGAATCTCTTATGTAGAGCCGATCAGACATTGATTTTAAGATCCCGCCCAGGACATTTACACACCATACACCAACAAGACCATTAAGAGCATTAACCCCATGTGAGAAACCCATTGCAGACTCTGTGACTACCACGAGGAGACCGTTAACATCTGCTCCTTCACTGCCCAAACCTGGCAGTTCTTTGACGCAGGCTCCTACACACATCTACATACTTACAAAGCCCGTTCTACTCTGGCGTTGGCCAGATGACAAGGACATGTGGTTACGTGGACGTGGGGGAGGCATTGCGCTGCCAAGAGCAAAATGCTCGCAGCTAAAGGGATTTGAAAACAACAACAATAACAACCCCTATACTATAATATGTTGTACCGGCACAGTATGAGCATAGCATTGATAAATCAGCCCATTTACAATTCTTGCATAAGAACATGTTAACCCCCCCCCCCCTTGGGAATGGCCTAAAGACAATTTGAAGTCAGTAGCACCGCCCTTTGCCTGTAGCTCCCTCTGATTACTCTTAGTCTCTGGTGACGCATTCAACATTTTCCCCTCAGTATCGATCAGATCATAGATAGTAGATGCATAATAGTCTATAGGCTATTAACGAAATGTTTTCTGTCCATTGGGAAAGCGACAGTCTATTTAAAGGGATCGCATCATCCCAGATCAGTAAATAAATTGTTTGTGAAAGCGCACAAATTGGTATTTTTGGAATAGGCCTTGGTTAGGCTGAAATAAAATATAACAACGCTATTATTATTACACATTTTATTTAATCTGCTTCGTTTGCTCCAAGGCTCAAGAATGTGAGCGAAAATGGCAGAGACAGATCTACAATACCTAGTGTGTACATAATATTATAATAGCCGACATGAAGGCCTCCAGCTATTATTCTAGATTTGTTTGTCATTTCTTGTCTGCTTCCGTGTGTGTCATGCTGCATAAGACCCTATAAATAGGTTCAGACTACCCGTAGTACCAGTAGTAGGCCTTCTATGTTGGTATGATTTATTTTATGAGAAGTCTATAAACTCCTTTTTGTTTAGTTAAACGACTCTGCTTTAGTTAGACTTCTGCATTCTTTTCTTTGTTTCCTTTCTGTGGTCAAGAAATTCAGACTTGAAATGGGTAAGCTTATTAAAAACGAAACCACGATGTTGGCCACATTCCGCCCTTGTCACATGACCGTCATTTTTACTTTTCTGGGAAATCCCGTTATCCCTTGTCCAAGAAATATTGTGCGAAGTTCGGTGGGACTGCGCCATTTTATGTTTTGGTCTTGGTCCCTGTCGTTTGTAGCGTTTTTGATCAACTCTGAGGTAAGAATATGTTTTTTTAAAGACGTAAGATTGTATTAATGATGCTAGAGGGAAGGCCTGAATTAGACTTTAGGGAGAACATTGCTTAGAAATTCCCTACCGAGACGAAAAAAGTCAAAGAGACATAAATTAAAAAAGGAAGAGGCTCGTCCTAGCCTAGTCTAGCGTACTTAGTGATGGCTAGACTAAGTTAGCCGTACTTGCTCGTGTGTACTTATTTTTAATAGGTGTAGCGTCAATTGCCTCCGAGTGACGCGGGTAAGACTGAAGAATACCGGGCACTACTTGGATATAGTGGTCCCGACTTTTGTGTAGATTCTAGTGTAGGCAACTGAAATATTACCTCAATGTTTTATGTTTTATTTATCAGTAGCCTAGATCTAAATCTAGATCTAGGGCGATTTTGTAGTTTCGTTCGTTAAAGTCAAGAGTAGGGGGTTTCAGGGGGGACCTAAAAAAAATATGGAGGTGTTGTAGTTTCGTTCTGAATTTTATCCTAATTTCATGGGGGGTTTTGCAATTAGGTTGCATCCGTGCTCTTTGTGTAGCCTAATTCAAATAATATTTGGTCTTCAAGACTTCTGGATTTCTTCTCTGGATGTAAACAATAAATGGATCGTGGACTTTAACTAACGGAACTACAAGATCACCAGATCTAGATTTTTCTAGATTCTAAATCTAGCCTACAAAATGAGCTGTAAAATTTCACTTGTTTTTCACGAAGTCAGAAAGACCCCCCCGACTTTAAAAAAAACAAAACATGGGGTGTTTCAGGGGGGTATGCCCCTCTGGATTTGACCATGACTTGATGTTTTTTTGCAATTAGGTTTGAAAGGCTATCTCTCCGGCACGCGAAACAAAAAGTAATCGTTTAGACTTAGAACCAGAAGTAATCGTTCTAATCTAGATGTAGATTTTCTCTAGGTTAAGTTATATTTCCCTGTCACAAAAGTCGGGACCACCATATCCAAGTAGTGCCAAATACCGGACCAGCGGACTGACTTTGCGTATGTCACAACCTTAGGAATTCATAATTTTCCCGTTTTTATAATATCTCTCAATGGAGAATCTCGGACCGGTAGATCTAGATCTAGATCTAGATAAAAACCCCAACCACCGCTCCACCTACCCCACTTTCTCGCGCAATAATGTACGAGTAGTCCGGTATTCTTCAATCTTCCCGTGACGCGGTGTCAATTGACAAAAATTGACTTTTTGTCCACGAAGTACAGCTAGACTGAGAGCTCCAGGGTGCTCCGTACTTAAGTACGGCTAAACTGCCAGTCTAGCCGTACTTAGATCTAGATCTAGGTTTGGCCTTTCGACTCAAGCCTGTTAAGTACACAGGTCTCATTCAGGGTGTCCAGCAAAGTCGCAAAGTCGTAAAAAAGCCGTAAATTCGGCGCCCTGGTCGTAAAGGTCGTAAATGGTAGTAAATTTGCCTTGAAGGTAGTAAAAATTTGGTAAACGGTCGTAAATTAGCCTGCATACTGAATGATGAAGCGAGAAAGACTTTTCAGTGAACCCTAGCCGCGGTACATCACTCCGTTTTTGCAGGTCGCGATTGTGATATAATTATTCGTTCACCTTTTCCCCGTCCGAGAGTACGTTTCACGCGAAAAGCCGGCTATGGCGGCAGGTGGAAGTGTATGTGACACCGAGGCTCGATCGGGAAAATCAAGAACTACTTTCGCTTTCGTTACCACCCTGAAATTTGGCGAAGATAAACTGATAACGCAACATTTGTAATATTATGCAGGTTGTATATAAACGCTGTGTCGCCGTGCAAACAAAATTTAATAATTACTTGGACTCTTCACCGTGCTGTCATTTGTGGGGGTGGGAGGGGGGGGTGGGGTGAAAAGAAAATACAAGCTTTGTCCGATTTTTAGATTGTCAGGTTCGCCAGCGTGACAGGTCAGTGAACCTTCGCGCGAGGCACTACAAGGTACGGCATCGGTGAGCACCGGCGTTTGTTGGGGTCGCCAAAGTTAATTAAAAAGTCGAGCGTTGCGAAGTATAGGACTACGGAGTAGGGCAGGGATTATTGATTTTTAAAAGAGACCCTCGGGGGAGGGGGGGGGGGGGGGAGCGGATGAAGGCAACAACAGAGGACAAAAACTGTAAGCAAATTTAAGAATTTTGATTAGATTTAGAGCCCTCTCCAAAGCGCGCGTTGGTGCAGGCCTTGTGTGGAATCGGGATCCTTCATACCTTGCAAGCCGTGTTATTGAAATAAAGTGTTCGCGTTTCATTTGTTGGGTGATAGTAAATTAGAACAATATTGTAGCTTTCTGTTCAAGACTGGCAGATTTTCAGTGCCACTGCCTCTTGCCCTCTCACAGTTTTTACACCTCTCACACTGAATAGGTTTACTCGAGTCATTACGTGTGTGTGTGTGTGTGTGCGCGTTGTTGTTGTCTAACATGGCCCTGGAAAATGGAGAAGCCGGTTTGGCAGTCACCCTGTGTGTACACATTAGGTATAAATTTACGAAGTGGCTAGCCGTACTTAAGTACGTCTAGCCGTACTTAAGTACGGCTAGACTGCCAGTCTAGCCGTACTTAGATCTAGGTTTGGCCCAATCGACTCAAGCCTGTTAAGTACACAGGTCTCATTAGATCAAGATCTAGATCTAGTAATTATTCAGGTTCAAATACATGCAAGTCAGTAAGGCACCTTTTGGTTTTGTCTGAAATACAAATACTTTTGGCATTGCAAACTAAAAATTTCATTTACAATTCAGCCATCAATATTAAGTACGGCTAGCCTGACAGTCTAGCCGTCCTTAAGTACGGCTAGCCTGGCTGTCTACCCGTACTTAAGTACGGGGAAGTGATCCAGGCTAGGCCATCCTTAGTTTTAGGCCCAATAAACTTTAGTTAACAGCAGGCTAAAAATGCGTGACTGGCTTTAGTGGGTGTGATTTCATCTCAAAAAAATTTGTTTTAGTGACTGCACACTAAAAATGTGTATTTACAATTCAGTAGGCCTATTTTTTGTAAATGGTCAGTCTAGCCATCATATTAAGAATAAGTACGGCTAGACTGCGAGTCTAGCCGTACTTAAGTACGGCTAGCATCTTCCATAAATTTACCCCCCCCCCCCTCCCCTCCCACCTCCACCAGGGCAGTGCTACTGACTGAAATGTCTTTAGGCCATTCCCAAAGGGAGGATATTAACATGTTCTTATGCACAGTAGAATTGTAAATGGGCTGACTTATCAATATCATGCTCATACTGTGCGTAAGGGAAACTGCTGCTTTTTCTGTCCTCTTCTTTGCTATCGTCATTTTCCTCTACTTCTTTTGTATGTTTGTCACACTTGTGAACTATTATTTCCGGGGTGCCTTGATAGTTGAAGCTTGATTCCTCGTTTGGACTTCTCTGTTGACATCCACCCCTTGTCGCTCATATCACCTATGCAGTTGCGAGCGCCGTAAAAACCTTACTAAAACTAAATCTAGCTGCAAGCAAGCTTGTGATCGTCTGTCTTTCCTCCATTTTGTCGACTGGACTTTGTTGTGTGTTCTTTTCGTTCCATATGTTATGTAACTAATAATATATATGTTATTGATGGCGCAAATTCGAGCTGGTGTGGGGCTTGATTTGCTGGGTAAAAATTTTTTTCCAGGTAGTAAATTTTTTCAGGAAATATTGCTCATTAGATCTAGATTCTAGATCTAGTCAGGGTTGGGTTGATTTAAATCAGTTGATTTTTTAAAATTTAAATCAACAACTTGATTTTTAAAATAAAAATCAGTGATTTAAATCACTTTAAAATTTTTTTATTTTTATTCAGTTTTTACATATTTCAACATTCAGAATTCCTTTCCTTGGTTTCATAAAACAGATATAAGGTTTAGTACACTAATATAATCATGCTTAAAAGTCTGCTTTCCCCCTTTCACTGTAAAATAATACAGTATTCAATATACTTTTTTTCCCCATATAATTGGAATCAGAGCTGGGTTGATTTAAATCAGCTGATTTTTTAAATTTTAATCAACTTGATTTTGTGATTTAAATCACTTTTAAAAAAATGTATTCTGTTTTTACATATTTAAGGTTTTATTAAACAGATATGTTTAGTAGACTAATATTTATTATAATCATGCTTAAAAGTCTGCTTTCCCCCCTGTCACTTTAAAATAATACAGTATTCAATTTTCTTTCTTTTCATAATTGAAAGCCAGGGTTGGGTTGATTTAAATCAGGTCGATTTAAATCAGTTAATTTTTAAATATATTTTAAATCAACTTGATTTTAAAAATAAAACTCAATGATTTGAATCACTTTTAAAAAATGTATTGTTTTTACGTCTTTAAACATTCAGAATTCCTTTCCTTGGTTTTATAAAACAGATATAAGGTTTAGTAGACTAATATAATCATGCTTAAAAGTCTGCTTTCCCCCCTGTCACTGTAAGTAGTAAATTAATACTGTATTCAATTTACTTTTTTTTCATAATTGAAATTAGCATTTTCTTTTCCTTTTTAGACAAACACAAGCGCGCACACACACACACGCACACTGTAATAAAATACAAGTTTATCTATGCATAATTACCCCCTCCCCCCCTTTCCTTTTAGACTGACATTTTCTTCATTTTTTGTCTGTAGCCGTAATTCACTGATATATAGCAGATTAAGGCTTTCTTTTGCAGTTGCTTAAATTAATCATTAGTTAAAATAAAGACAATGCATTCTGCACTAAAAGAACATACTTTTAGCCACCAAAAATCCCAAACTGTGTCGACATTAAAAAAAAAAAAAAAAAAAAAAATCTGATTTAAATTTTAAAAATTGATTTTTTAAAGTTTTATTTAAAAAATCAAAAATATCACCAACCCTGGATCTAGTAATTATTCAGGTTCAAATGCATGCAAGTCAGAAAGGCACCTTTTGGTTTTGTCTGAAATATAAATGCTTTAGGCATTGCAAACTAAAAGTATCATTTACAATTCAGCCATCAATATTAAGTACGGGTAGCCTGGCTGTCTACCCGTACTGAAGTATGGCTAGACAAGAAGTCTAGCCGTACTTAAGTACGGCCGGAGATGACTAGTGAGAGATATTTCACTTGCCAGCTGGCCCCTCTTCGCATCATGTTATTTACGCGAGATCGGTGACGTAGTGCCTCAAAACTATGCCACGCCGTACATTTCTGACATAGTCTGTTCCTCTCAAAGTCACTTCCCCTTGTTATTTCCTATAGGGACAGAAGGAGCGAGGAGTCATCTCAGTCAATATATCGGAAGTAGTAGTATGAGGTGAAGTTGGTCAATAAATGTGCGCATAATTAATCAATTCATAAAATTAAAATTTATGCTCCAGAGAAGGAAGAGGAAGCAGAGTTTTTTTAATTGTTTTTTTAGTCTGAGTTTTAAGGCACTTGCTGATGCTGCGTTGCGACAATAAGGTCATATAAGTGTTGAAGAATAGATGCGTCACAAGAGAGTTACATACATAAAACAGGAGGAGGAGGAGAGATAAGGACAATAGGTGCTTGGATATGAAAGGAGGAGTAAACCACACCAGAGCACACGCCAACCACCCACGAAGAAGAAGAAGAAGAGGAAGAAGAAGAAGAAGAAGAAGAAGAAGAAGAAGAAGAAGAAGAAGAAGAAGAGGGAGAAGATCAAGAACTAGAAGAAGAAGAAAATGACAAAGAAAAAGGAGTAGAAGAAGAAGAATAGAAAAGATTTGGCGTATTGTGCGCACTAATGCAATTAGATGCGGGCCAGGAATAAGGAGTGGGGACGTGACCGAGACAGGTCAATAATTGTACCGACCGAGAGAAAACATGCAGTTAGGTATGTTTTGAAATTTTAATCAAAATATTGACTAGAATTACCAGAATGTTCTGACTCCATCTTTCATGTGTGGATGTGGGTATGACGTGACAGTAAAGAAAGAGAAATGGTGTTTAAAAACCCATTCAGACAAACCTCTTTGCTTAATTTACAATGAAAACAATAAGGCGATTCCTCGGTTGTGAGGAACAGACTATTAGTTGTACGGCGTGAAACTTTCACCGGATGCCTGACCCCAATCTCGCCTAAATCGAGGAGTGATGCGTCTCTACTTTTTTGTCTCCGGTACGGCTAGACTGCCAGTCTAGCTGTACTTATCTTAGGCCCTATTAACATTAGAAAACATGAGGTTTAAAATACATGCACTGTCATTAAGGCACCTGGTTTTGTCTCAAATACAAATACTTTAGGTACTGCACACTAAAAATTTATATTTACAATTCAGTAGGCCTATTTTTTTAAATGGTCAGTCTAGCCATCATATTTAGAATAAGTACGGCTAGACTGCCAGTCTAGCCGTCATTAAGTACGGCTAGACTGCCAGTCTAGCCATCATTAAGTACGGCTACTAGCCTCTTCCTTTTGTCAATTGCCACCGAGTGAAGCAGTGTCAAGTCTGAAAACAACTCTATCTTTAGCATTTATACATATGATGTCTAATGGGTCAATTTGTTCTCAACTAATTTCATTGGACGAGCATCTAGTCTAGAGCTACGGTACCAACTTGGGGTGTTTTCAATGAGACGTAGGCCTAGATCTAGGCTAGCCTTAGCGTACACTTTGGTGTAGAACCAACACAGACAATTCTAGAAGTAGAAGGTCGCTAACGCACACAGACTCAAGCAGAAATTCATGTTATACTGGGGAACATAAATTGGGAGACGGGGGTCAGGAAAAGACACACACACACACACACACACACACACACACACACACACACACACACACACACACACACACACACACACACACACACAT